AGTGCGTTGCCCCCTCTTTCCAGATGTTAAACAGGAATATTGGTGGGTTTACATCTGTGATCGCAAGAGTCAAACTATACTAACAACTCCTATTTATATTACGTCGTTAGTACACTTTGAAGAAGTTCAGTTAAAATTTTCAGCACCTCGGTGGCCAGGTGTTTATACATTTACTGTATGTTTTCGTAGTGATTCTTATCTTGGCTTTGATCAAGCTCAAGATATTAAGGTATGTGATAAAATTCTGTTTATATAAAGTACATATACAAAAATTTTATTATTATTTTATAACTTCATAAAAATATCAATTTGCAGTTGGATGTAAAAGAAGCACCAGAGATACCCACAGAACATCCTCAATGGGATATTTCAGATGAAGAAACTGCAGAAGATGTAGATGCAGCTGATGAACATTCCGAGTATACAACTGATGAAGATATCAGTGACAATGAATAATATCTATTTGTCTTAAAAGATTTTATAACTAGATATTGAAAAAGTTCGCATTTTTCCTCTTTTTTTACTTGTCAAGTTAATGTACAATGAACTTTTATACGTGAAATTGCATAATTGTTAATGTACGTGGACAATCTAGGAAAATAGTATGGTGTGTAAGATTTTTCAGTGAAGAGAAAGTAATAGTAAATGAAAAACATATTTATTTTAACATTGTTGTTTAATCCTCAGTTTAGGATGTATATACAGTTTTTTTAATAAAATACATTTTAAAGTATAGAAATGTTATTTTTTTTTCCTTCTAATTTTAATTATTATTTCTCAGCATATGAGATGTAAAAGAATAAATTGACAAGAAACGAAGTTACCAATTTTTGTGCAAGTGAAAGTATGATAAAAACATCTTTGTCTTACATATTCATTCAACCATTAAATTTTTTGTTAACCATAAAGTATAAAAACTATTAATAGAGCTTTGATGCAAATCAGTCAGTACTCTACTTCTGTGATGATCACAGTGAATCTGAAACTTTCAGACATGTGGATTGTAAGTACACTTTAATTACAGATAATCATAATGTATAATATATAATATACAAGAGATATACATACATACATATTTCAATATATGTATAATAATCAAAAATTCTATTTTAGATATTAAGAGCTGTTTTTATATACTTATTCCTATGTGTGACATTTAAAGTAGGTAGGTTTAATAATATATAAATTGCATTCTGAATAATAAATTCTCTTCACGTTATTTTTCTTTAAATCATATTATTTTCATAGTTACTAAATTATCACTTATGAAAATAATTTTACACTTTTACTTATGTAAGAAATAAAAAATAACACATGTTTTAATTATATGTAACATGCACGTATTACTGAATTTCAATGAACAAAGAAAATGTAGGTAGTCTTGAAAGAAAATGTTCTATCAACATATGGCACTTTACATAGGATCTCTGTCATTATGCATTTACCTGATCTATATGTGTCTATATACAACTATTACTATAATTTTCGTTCACAGCTAATTTTAGATAAATATATAACATAAAATTTTGGTATTACTTAAATAACATATCATCAACATCTTTTATATTGATAAATAATCTTTTACAGACCATTTAACATCAGCAAATGATATTAGTTGGAAGATTGGACCAAAAAACATCTCAAGTGGTCCTATTTATACATATCTCAAAACGGATAAAAATGCAAATATTAAATGGGGTGTGCGACATTATGTTCCAAGAGCATCAAGAACACTAAAATAAATATTAAATTTGATAAATAAAAATATTTTTAATATTATGTTTATCAAATGTTGATTAATGTAATAATTAAACTAATTTAATGTAAACCAATTTTCAAAGGTAAGAAAATAAAGTTTTAGAAATCAAACTCAATGTAATACATACGTTCACAATATCTTTATGGTTCCAACCTAAGGAGTTCCAGATATTTTTTTTGCATTGTTATCAAAAGATTATCTAGTCTGGCAAAATAAAAAAGAAAAGAATATTATACTTTTATTTCAAATATTAAGTTATTATATTTTAAAATCAAAATCGTAATCGCAAAACATACGTGAAACGTAACATTAAATTATCATATATCACATCACTCCCTGTTTCCATAATTTTGCTATGTTTGGTACAAGACGTATTTGAAAATTGATCACTATTAAATCCACTTGATACTTTCATGTTATCTGATAAAATTTTCGTAGTTTCATGTGAAGTATTAGGTAGACTTAAACATTTTTTATCAGAAATATCAGATATATTATTAAAACTATGTTGTATTATATTTTGAATTTCTTTACAGTATATCTTCCTCGTGGCAATAACTGAATTAAAAATTGTTTCCAGTTTTAGGAGTTCTATTTCCAGCTTTGTTATCTTACTAAAAAAAAGTTAATTCCATTAATATAATACATGATCATTATAGTTCCATATAAAATATAAATATAGTTACTAATATACATACTCCACAATTTTAGAAATATCTTCATTACAAAATTGTGTTCCTTGTACTTTCAAAAATTCAAAAATTAATTTTACCATTTCTGCTGGCTTTGTACTTTTATGAGAATATTTTGCCTCGTGCAACTCATAGATTTTTGTAGCTTTATTATATCTATACAAAATTCAAGTATAACACTTAATATCCAAGTTTAAACATTGTAATAGTAGATAAAATTAAATTTACTCACATTTGAAACATATCTTTAAGATAATCACTAGATTGCATTGTACTTTTTAATTTACTGCTTTCTAACATTAGTGGATTAAATTTTAATTTTATGTGATTAGTAACCTCAACAAGTTTAATCATTTTTCCATGATTAGTTTCCAAAACTGTCAATTTTTCTTTGTTTATAGGATCTTTTTCCCATTTAATACGAACTGAAGATAATTCACTTAAAACAGTATTTATATTTGTTAATGTATTCATCATACTCATATTAAAAGTATCAAGTTTTGTAATTATTAAATCTCTGAAATATTATACATATTATACATAATTTAGCAAGTTGAGCTAGAAATTAAAAAATATAAATTTTATAATACATGGTTATTAATTTTATAAATAAATTTTCAGATAGATAGAAAAATAGTAAAGTTGAATTTGTATATTTAATAACAAAAAATGATTGTATATTGAGAAAATACTTACAATTTTATACTTGCAGCAAAAATATACAATTGAAACATATATATTTCTTGTTTAATAAAATATATTGTTACCCTATAATAATCTTCTAATGTTTCAAAATCCAATTGGTTTTGTGACAATCCTATCATTTCTAGTATTTCTTTAGGAATATGTGGTGTAGGTATGTTCTCTATTAAAGAACTTTCATTTTTGAAGACAAATAGAACAGGATTCTTTAAATTAAAAATATAGTATAAAATAAACAATATTAATTCATAATAAATTTAAAAAACGTTAACTCTTTAATAATGAAAAAACGTATTTATATCTGTAATGTACTAATGATAAAATTGTATAAATGAAACAAATATTATAACACATTTTAATACAGTATTTTTCTGTAATATTAACTGTTAAAAGGTCAATCAAAATAAGTACAAAATCATACATAAAATTAGTTATACCTGAATTTGTGATAAAAGTGGTATTTGATTTTCAGTAAGAATTTTACCAAAATAATCTGTTAATATTTGTTGATTTACTGGTATACCAATATCCTTTTCAATCATATCTTGTAGATCTGTAATTTTATCAGCATTGGTTACTTCATATGCATAAATTTTATATGTTGATGCAAAAAACACACGAATTATCTAAAAAAGAGAACTCTTTTTATCATATATATTTAAAAATATTAATATATAAAAAATTATATATTAAAATACCTGTTTTGATAATATAGAATCTAACATTTCAAAAACCACCAATTTCGATGTTCCATTTTTATAATACTGTTTTCCTCTCTTTTCTGGACACCATTGAAATACAACCTTAAACCATTCTACCAATTTACTTTGAAGATTTCTAATAAAAAATACAGTAAGCTTAAATGAAGTTAATATATTATTATTTATTTTAGCAGAAAGTTTTATGGTTATTACTTTGATAAATTTGTGGGGCTAATAATATCTTGACTAAAAATTATCTTTCCTTCAGATTTAAAAGCACAGATATCCTCATCACTTTTGTTGCTAATAAGATGCAGCCTGTGAAATATATAAATCAACTAATATTAAAATTATTTTGTATCATTTCTCTTAACTATATAGCATACCATGGTATAGTATGTTGCATTCTATGCAGAAATGGTGTTATACCAGTGATAAGTTCATAAAAAAGAATACCTAAACTCCAGTAGTCTGCAGAACAACTGTACTTATCTTTCCGTAATATCTCTGGAGCTACATATTCTAATAATGTTCTTACTGTAAATGTATTTGTACTAGCTTCTCCAATTTCTTTTGCATATCCTAAATCTATTAATTTATATGAAATCTAAAACATGTTTTATTCATACTATTATTATTTATTTTAATACATTTAATAAAATCAACGTTTAAAGTAATATTTCTTACAGTATCATGTTCATTTTGTAGAACTATATTTTCAGGCTTTAAGTCACGATGAGTAATGTTATTGGAATGTAAGTATTTTACTGCAGAAGAAATATCTTTCATTACATTAATTGCCTCCTTTTCACTAATACCACAACAATTTTCTACCACTTTCAAAACCTAAAATTTTGAAAATATTGTTACAAATACTATTGCATTGATTGAAAAAACATAAATACATTTTGACATTCACCTTTCTGAGATCACCTTGTCTACAAAATTCCATACATAATACTGGTAGATTAATTTTATCATCAGGATGTTTAAATGGTAAATTTAAAGCTTTAATAATATTTGGATGTTTTAAATGTTTCAGTGTTTGTACTTCACTAATCCAGCTTTTTCGTTGAATATCTGTTAAGTGTGTGGTATCTCTTTTGCATATTTTGATTGCTATAGTTCATAAAATATTTTATAATTTTTAATGTTCTACTAGTATCATATTACTTAAATAATAATTATCTTAAACGATATTGACAAATAAAGTATTAAGTATTGAATCTTATTGTTTTATTTTCTATATAAAAATTAAACATACCCAGCTTTTCACCACTTGTATGTGTCCAAAGTTCAACAATACCAAATCCTCCAGAACCTAAAACCCTATCAAGGTTCCATCCTTGGATAAGGACTGGTGTAGCAGTCATATTAAATATTTTGCCTAAAAGTGATTCAGATTATAAATAAAAAATTTTAAATAATTCTAATCAAAACTACAAAGTAAACAAATATTTTTAACTCTTTACTGTCTCTTTTATTTTGTATAAGATTTATGAAAAAGAAAAATTGATTATAACAATTTTGTAGACTACAAAATACTCATGTTTATAACAAAATTAATTTTCTTAAATAACACATTCACATATTTTTAACACATATGGCGATTAAAATAGATTGACAATGTTACCAACAGAAAACGTATATCATGTCTTTGTAAAATAATGTATCATTGTCGAAATTGCTGCCACATATATTTTTGAAAAATAAACGAAATTTAATAAGTTGTATAAAATGTTCATATTTATATGTACATTTATATTTATTAATACTATATTCTTAAAAAATATATAAGCAAGGTAAAATATACAAAAATATATAAAAATATATAGATCTAAATTCGTAAAATATGTATTACAAAATTATATGGAAATATTGTGACTTTTAGCAATTCTTTCGTGTAATTTCAAATATTTAATTTATAAAAATACAAACATTATTTATGATTTTTATGAATAATGAATTGATTATAACTTACATATAGAAATAATATTTATATATTTTACAGCGAAATTTTTTAATGTAAACCAAATAAAAATATGCTTGAAATATAGAACCAAAAACTATTGGTAACTTTTAACTAAGGTAAAAACATTTTATATTGTAAAATACAAATATTTGGAAATAATGATTGTTGATCTATGTACTATGAGATGTAGTATGTGTTTATGCATAATTTAAAAATATTAATGTATTTAAATAGTTAGTGTAATTAAAAATTGTTAATGTTTAATTGCATATCTGGTGTGTAGATTATAATTATCTGTACAATTAAATTGTATGTCATTTATTTTTTAATTATAAATATCACGTTGTATTAAAGCAATCATAATTTTAAGGAAAAGCAGTTTATTTTGTTTGAATAAAAGCATACTTCGATTAACTTTTAATAGCAATAAATATTGTATTCTTTTTAATTATTACTTTTTAAATTTATTATTAAATAATAAGATAAATAATTAATTAATATTTTATAATTAATATTTGGGATTGTATAAATATTATAGTTTGCACTTTTCTACTTTGAAAATATAAAATTATGTACTTTATTGTATATGAAATTTTAAATTTGATATTTATCGAAACAAATATTCTGCAATTTAGTAAAAATTCTTCAAAATAAGATATTTATGTATTTAAATATATCTATGTTTCTAATTGAATGAGATATATAATTTAGGAAGAATAACAATTTTCGATAGTATTTTGGATACGTTTAAGCCAATGAAGGGTGGCGCTTTAGGGCAGTCCGGTTTTTGAAGAAATATGGCGGATGTCGAGGTGAGTCTGTCACGTGGAAGATTAGAAACTGTATTATTGTCTTGAAATTACCAATAACTTATGTTTGATTTTGTTACAGTTAACGAAAGCATTAAAAGATTTGCCAAATCGAGTTCAAACCGCCAGTAAAAATGAGCGGCGAGACATTCTACAAAATGTCGTCAATGTGTTGTCAAATCCTGGTAAGGAATGAAAATGCGAATAATTTTTTTTGTAAGAACTTATAAGCTCTTTTGATTGAAAATGATTGTTAACGGAAGATAAAGATTGTATTGTCTTCCATAAACATACTTCAAAATTAATGTATTAAAAAAAATAATATCATACAATATGATTAAAATTAAGTTGTACTAAGTCTTTATTAATATTTTTCAATTGCAATATTTATAATTGTTATATAATTTACATATATATCTTGTAGTTCTTAATTTCTTTTTCAGTTTCATTGTTAGCCTTAAAAAATATCATTACAAATATGTATATACAACATTAAATATGTGTTACATGTTAATATATTGACAAAGATTTAATATTCTTTAAAATGGAAAATGTATATAATATTACAAATTATGGTTAATGTTATAATTACATATTGAATATTATTTGCTACCTATTAATAATAAAAATAATACATATCATGTATTAACTTTTTAATTAAAATGATTAAGTTATCTTTAATTAATATTGTCATAAAAGAGAACAAATAATCATATTATTTATTCTTTTATGTAATGTTATATTACATAATTAATGTATAAAACATTAATTATAATTTATATATAAGGAAAAAATATATGAAATGTAAAATTTTTGTTTACAAGTTTAAATTTCATATAAAAAAATAATTAAATTTAAAGAGGTTTTATATATTTCTATATTCATAGGTATCAATGAGAAGATTGTTAATGGAATTTGCAAAACCATATCTCTTACTTTACATCGATATAAGGATACTGCATCCCAATCTTACGTGAAAAATTTAATTGGAGAACTGTTGAAACAACAACCAGAACCTACAATAAAGCATATGACAAATGTAGTCATAGAACAAGCTACATGGCATAAAAATGTAGTTCCTACGTATGTAACTACCTAAATAATTTTCTCAATAGATTTATTTTAAAAAATTTGAATCTTGAAGAATGTGTGAATGTTTATATATTATTATCAGAATATTATTTTGTAGTTTGAATACAGCTTTAACTGCATATCTTGCATTAAAATGGTCAACATTAATTGTTCTACATGGATATAAAAGTAATTCAAATATCAGTTCAGAATTACCAAAACTCATTGAAGCTCAAGCAAATTTAAGCGCAGCAGCTTTGGCATCTATGGATAAAAAGTTAACAGAGAAAGTATATGTATTACTAGCACATCAATGGTCAAGTATTAAAGACATTGAAATTATGTATTTAGAAACACTAACAAAACTGGAAGTTGGAAACGGTGTAATTGTTCTTGTTAGTTTACTCACAAAGTATTTAGTTAATGCAAAACAAAGTGAATTAGTAGTGAAATTGAAGGTAAATTTATATTTTACTATAGATTTCTGTACTAAAAGACTTTTTTTTATACAAGTAATATTTTTTACTTTTTATAATGAATATATTTAAAGAAATTTTTGTTTTTATTTTACAGACAAACATCATAGATGCTTTCATAAAATTAACTATTAGTTGTAAGAAAAAACCAGATTTATATGTTGTTCACAATGCTGTACCTCTTCTTCGTAGAATATCTCATGATGAATTTAAAAGTCAACTATTACCAGCTTTACAAAAGGCTATGTTACGGAATCCAGAAATTATTATTGAATCAGTTGGATATATTCTAAGTGGTTTAAGTCTTGATTTAAGTCAATATAGTCAAGATATAAGTAAAGGATTATTTGCAAATTTACATTCAAAGGAAGACTTAGTTAGAGATGAAGCTGTTGGAGCTTGTCGTAGACTTGCTCTACAGTGCTCAGATACTGTGGCATTGGAAAATTTATTGTCATCTGTATTTGCTGTATTTCATGGATCAGAAGGGAAACTTACAGTTGCAACTCATAAAATTTCTGTATTACAAGGTGCTGGCAATCTTAGTTATAATGCAGCCTCAGGAAGTAGTGTTGAAAGATTAGCTGAAACAGCTTGCGAACATTTTATCAAAGTTCTTGAAACTGAAGTCCATGAAAAAACTTTAATCCATGCTCTTGAAATGATGGCCTTATGGTCTAATAAATTTGCAAATAATATTCCAACATGTGTGATTGATGCATTTAAAAAGGGTATGACTGCTAAGACTTCAACTGCTGCAGTACGTACTGCTTACATTAAACTCTTCTTTTCTACACCAGTAGCTTCTTATTCTGGAACAATAACTCCATTACTTATACAAGCAATAACAAGAACTATGCAACAATCTGCACAACCAGCTGCAGTAACAGAGGGTTTAGTGGCTTCTTATTTGTTATTGAAATTTGTGCTTGCTAATCAAGTGGAAAATGACAAACAAACTGTATTGTGGAATGCAATTGATGAGCAAATATTCTTTTCTGAAAAATTTTTGTCAGCTTGTGGAGATGATATTTTATATCACCTTATGTTACTTTGTGAAAGACTAATTACTGAATTTGGTGATAGATTGAATGAGAAAGCTTTAAATGGTGTTCATAGAGCAATTGTAGCATGTGCAACAGCTCCCAAATATAAAACAAGAAAACGCTGTTTTCCATTAATTAAAAAAGTTTTAACTGGTTTGAGTACATATGGACCTGCACAAGAACTGTTAATGGAATATAATAGATTCTTAGAAAATGTAAAAATTAAATCTGAAACTGACAAAGAAAATAAAGAAGATTCTTCGAATTATGAGACAACTGGTAGATGTCTTGCAGATGGACTGCTTGCTATTTGTTCAGGTTCATTTTTGTTTGAAATACCTGCTATGCAAATGACAAGAGATGCATTGATACCATCTCATCATCCTGCAGTTTACAAAGTAATGCCAAATTTATGGTTTAAAATTGCAAAGAATTTTAATCTTGTACCAAAAAATTTTTTATGTTCATATAATCATGAAATAAAAAAAATATTTGTTCAAAATTATAAGCCGATTGCTAGTTATGAAAATGCGTTAACGAAAGTAATTTCAATTGTTCCGGATATTATACTACCTATGATAGTGTCAAACATTACAAGTAAGCTTGACGATCCAGAGGTCTTAAAAGTTACTAAAGATGAATATTTTACTTATCTCACTCCAGAAGGAGAATTATATGATAAAAGTGTACTACCAGCAAATGATGAAAATGATATTCACAATTCAATGAACATGAAAAGAGAAAGCAAAGTTTATTCATTTAAAGAACAGCAAGAAGAATTACAGCTTAGGCGAGAATTATATGAAAAACGGAAAAAAGAAGGAAAGATAAAAGAACCTAAATTAACACCCAAACAAGAGGAAATTCTTAAAGCACAAATGGCAAAAGAAAGTGCAATTCGTATAAAATTAACAGAATTAAAGTTTAGAATAGATAATGCTGTATCTTTAACTATGTGTGCTATGCGTGGTAATGGCCAAGAATTATCTTTTTATTTAAAAAACCTTCTACCTCCGATTTTAAGAAATTTGGGGTCACCATTGGTTGCTC